CCATAGACCACATACACACAGTGCGGCAGATTATACAGAAGACTGAGGAGTACAATCAGCCCCTGTGCCTAGCATTTGTGGACTATGAGAAGGCCTTTGACTCGATTGAAATCTGGTCTGTCCTGGAGTCCCTGCAGCGTTGCCAAGTCGACTGGCGATACATCCAAGTGATAAGATGTCTCTACGAAGCCGCCACCATGTTTGTCCAAGTACAGAATCAGCAAACAAGTCCCATACCGTTGCATCGTGGAGTGAGACAAGGGGACGTTATTTCCCCGAAATTGTTCACTAATGCAATGGAGGATATGTTCAAGACGCTGAACTGGAAACGACATGGCATCAACATAAATGGCGAACGCATCTCTCACTTGCGATTTGCAGACGACATCGTCATCATGGCAGAAACCCTGCAGGACCTACAGCAGATGCTGAATGACCTGGCTGACTCTTCTATACGCATCGGCCTACGGATGAACTTGGATAAAACCAAGGTCATGTTCAATGAACATGTTCTACCGGAACCGATTGCAATACACGGTGCCGTTCTCGAAGTTGTTCAAAAATATGTATACCTCGGGCAGACATTGCAGTTAGTTAGAAACAACTTTGAGGACGAGGTGAATAGAAGAGTTCAGCTAGGTTGGGCAGCGTTTGGGAAGCTACGTCAAGTCCTGACATCGTCGATCCCACAGTGCCTAAAGACGAAAGTCTTCAATCAGTGCGTCCTACCTGTGATGACATACGGAGCCGAGACGTGGACACTGACGGCACGGCTGATCCACAGGTTCAAAGTCGCTCAACGCGCTATGGAAAGGGCTATGCTCGGCGTTTCTCTGAAAGATCGCATCAGAAATGAGGTAATCCGACAGAGAACCAGAGTTCTCGACATAGCCCACCGGATTAGCAAGTTGAAGTGGCAGTGGGCTGGCCATATTTGCCGAAGAACCGATAACCGTTGGGGTAGACGAGTTCTGGAGTGGAGACCGCGTCTAGGCAAACGTAGTGTAGGACGTCCTCAGGCACGATGGAGTGACGATTTGCGCAAGGTGGCTGGCAGGAGCTGGATGCGAGTAGCCCAAGATCGATCTGAGTGGCGTGCATTTGGAGAGGCCTATGTCCAGCAGTGGACTATGATGGGCTGTTGATGATGATGATGATGATGAGTCAACCAACAAGCAATAACATTTGACATTTCGGAGACCTCACGCTACACTAGCGCCTCTAGCGGCGGATTCATACGCGATAGCCCTCATTACGTAAAATGGCTAAACTAATTCATATGTTTGGTACGCATTACCTGGATTGAGACACAAATGATAGATGCTTTTAATCCCGGAAAAGTGTAAGGTACCTATAGGATTTTGAGAAACCCAAACCTAATGCGGACCAAATTTCGGGTGGTCACCAGTGATACGTTAAATCGTCTATCATATTTAATTTAATAATTACCAAAGCACGCGTGATGCGTATACTTTTTAACATTAGTAAGTACTTATATCATATCAGTGCGTGTGTATATTTAGAATGATAATAATGAACGGCGCCGGCGCCCTGAATAGGGTTCCCACCCGCAGTAATAAAAACAATAAATAAATATATATTTCCTACACTCACACCAATTAGCCTAGTCCCAAAATAAGCACTGTAAGGCTTGTGTTATGGGATACTAGGGTAACGGTTAGAATACATAAACTGTACATATATAAGCATATTTATGTAGACATACCATATTAAACATCCATAACTGGAGTAAAAATGCTCGTCTTCATTACACAAACATCTGCCCCCACCGGGATTCGAACCCGGGACCTCTCGCGTCGGCGACACCATGAAACCCGGCGTACAAACCACTCGGCCACGGAGGTTGTCAAATAAATCTAACAAATAATAATAAATTCAATTCAATTCATTTATTTCAGCCATTTAGCCATATAAATTACATAAAACCAAAATAATAATAATAGCAGCATACAAATTCAAAATTAAAAAACAAAATTATTAAAATAAAAAAAAAATTATAAATGTCAACAAGAAATAATAATACCTGTTTCCCACACTCACACCAATTAGGCTAGCCCGAAGTCAGCACTGAAAGGCTTGTGTTACAGGATGCTAGGGTAACGGATAGAATACATATAGGTAATAATACATCCATTAGTATGTTTTTATCCAGAAATAGGTATATATAAACAAACATGCATGCCTAAGGTACAAACGCTCGTATTTATCATGCAAATTTTTTGCTCCCACCGGGATTCGAAACCGGGACCGTTGAGTGGCGACATCTTGAAACCTAGCGTATATACCACTCGGCCACGGTGGTCGTCACAACAATAAACAATATTATACTGTTTATCACCACATTGTACTTTTTACTGTTGACCAAAAATAAACTATACTAAATACACTTTTCAGCATCAGAATATGTCAATACACTCATCAAAAGAGTAAGCAACATGATCTTTTTTAACTTCTGACCGATCCAATATTTGTATTACTTTTGTTATTAATAAATAATTTGATTTATTAGTAACCCAAATTCTTATAATTAATTAAATAACTACTTTTGGAATTAATTTAAAATTAAATAAATTATTAGTTGTGTTTTGGGACATGTACCTATTTCTATAACAATGATTAGGAGTTAGTTATGTTGATCGAAATAAATGAAGATTATTTTATTTTTTATAACATATTTTTTTATTACGATAAAATTAATGTCCGCTGATAAAACAGTTCAGTTACGAAATTCAGTTCAGTAAGGCTTGTGTTATGGGATACTAGGGTAACGGATAGAATACATATACTATACATATATTAGTATATTTATAAAGAAATACATATTAAACATCCATGACTGGAGTACAAATGCTCGTATTCAACACACAAACATCTGCCCCCACCGGGATTCGAACCCGGAACCTCTAGAGTCGGCGGCAACATGAAACCCGGCGTACAAACCACTCGGCCGCGGAGGTCGTCAAAGGTCGTCTTTTAACTTACTACAGTTTTATTTTATTCTCAACAGTGCTATTCTGTAAAAAAAAACTCACTTTTCACCTTCTAATTAGCGGTGTAATTTTAAATTAAAACACACATACTCGTATATGTCTGTACAGATATATATAGTCGTGTGAAGCTCGTGATTGTAGAATTTTTCCATTTACACCCCGTGCGAAAAGATGTTTCATCTAAAATAAAGTTTGAAACCCTAGCCCTGACCGCCAGTGGCGCCATCTAGACCATCTGCGGAGCGTAGGGCGTGACCCTGACCCTCCAAATTACGGTTGTCGTACGATTGTGGCGTACCATATAATTTATTTCTAATGCATCATGGTTGGACTTTAATGGTAATTCGTATTATCAAAATGATTTATTAAAATTTAAGAAGAATATTTTTATTTATTCTTACACGATAGGCACTTAAAGTTGTTTGTAACAAATGTACCTATTTTAAAATTGTGCGTTTTATTTTACCTGCCTGCTTAATCAGATATTGCTAGTCCTCAAATCTGAGAATATTTATTACATGCTGGTATCTATCTACATGCTGGTGAACATTTTATTGGTTTATAAGTTGTGATTTCGATTCCCAAATAACCTCCAATAATAATAAATTGTATGAAAAGCCGGACATCCTACAATAATTATATTAATTGTTTGGTCCTAAGCTATGCATATAGGCACTTTATGTTTAAACTTTCATGGTCACTTTTTTGTTTTTAGCGAGTTTCGCTAAAAACAAGGTACATAGTAACAATCCCGTAAATAACTTATATTATTATAACTTTATGTTTAGGTACTAAAAGCATGTAATAATATATATTATTTAAGTAATTTAAACAACCATACCTCAAAAATAAATATTTGTACTCAGCACACAAATAAATACTCCTGCCGGGATCCAAACCCAGAAACTTTGGAGCAGAGTGTTGCCCTTATATCACAAAATACCTTAATTTTATTGTGAATAATCATTATTCTATTCAACCATATTACAAACATCGCATTCATAAGCAACGTTAATTGTACCTATTACATAAAAGTATCCAGTTACAAAAATCATACGATGTTTTGTCAAAAAAACAACAAATGTGAATCCGCTGTGACAGGTTACAATAGTTTATTTAAAAATTTGCTGAAAATTTATTCTATTTCTTTGTTTCTCAGAAATCAACATAGTAATTCGCTGAGACAAGTTGCATGCGTGAACCAGACAGCAAATGCTGGCTATATGATTTGTGTCTTATTGTTTTAATAGTTAGTACAAGTAGTCACGTAGTCTTATTATTAAATTATTATAGATATATGCATTTTTACTAATTTATGTATGTAATCATGCCCCCCTAGCATGAGTAACAAAACGCGATATGATAAAGCGATTTATCGACATTAACTGTCAAACTACAATGGAGTTTGAGGGCAGGGCTTGATTTAAGTAAATTAAATATACTTGGTAGAAAAATATACATCAGTAACTGGGGTGTTTCATTCTAAGTTCTGGTGGAGATGAAGAGAGAGGGAGAGAAACAGAATCATTTCATAGACCTTATATAAACATACAATTGTAATTGTTATTATAATTTCTTTTTTGTGTAGGTAATGTAATATTGTAATGTTATTTACAAACAAACAGATAATTAAAATTAGATATGAAACAAAAAAAGTGTACAAAGAATTTTTTTTTGACGACCTCCGTGGCTGAGTGGTTTGTACGCCAACTCGAGAGGTCCCAGGTTCGAATCTTGGTGGGGGCAGATGTTTGTGTGATGAGTACGATCATTTGTATTCCAGTCATGGATGTCTAATATGCATTTCTATATAAAAATATATATGCACAGTATATGTATTCCATCCGTTACCCTAGTATCCCATAACACAAGCCTTACAGTGATTACTTTGGGGCTAGACTAATTGGTGTGAGTGTTGGAAATTTTTATTTATTTATTTATTTCTGTTAATAACATTTTTCATCATAGAAGTCTGTTTTTCTTTGGCAGGTATTTACTCACACAAACACCTGGACGCATCACAAGTGGAGGTGGTGACCCCTGTCAAAGTGACGCGAGAGGGGTCACTGGTGTCCCACGCGGTGGACCACTCGCACGAGCATGGGCACGCGCGCGCCAGGCGGGACCTCGGCAGCAAGGACCACGGCTTACCGCACTCACTACACTACAACCTCACCGTCGGCGGCAGGGATCTCCGACTCGACTTGCGGTGAGAATTTTCTTTTTTTGATTGTGTATGCTGTTGGTAGTAGATGACCTTTACAGCGTCATCGGGTTTGGGGACGGCCAGATCCTAAGGGGACCTCAAGCCGAGAATTGGCGAGTGCCTCTAGAGCGGATGGCATTTGCCCACGTGGGGAGTCTCCTCTCCGTCTGGAGCCTCTAGATCACTCGAATCTGAGGGGGTCGGCTCAACTAGAAGGCGTCTCTGAGACTCGAACTACAGCTCTAGTGAGCCGTTGTCGTGGGGGGCGGGAAAAACGCTCAGGTACCTGCACATAGTATAGCGTGTCGTGTGCAGATCGAGTCTTCGCACTCTTATCCTACGGGTGTATGCCTAATGCTAAGCTAGTGTTCAAGTAAGCAAGCTTTGTAGTGTTGGTGTTTGTGGCCTGTGTGGGAGGAGTCGGAGGCGAGACGGTGAGAGACTTAATGTCATGTCCTTATATGTGGTACTGGTGGAAGTGGTGACGCGAGAGGGGTAGCTCGTGTCTCACGCGGTGGACCACTCGCTCTTGCATTGGTACGCTTACGGGACCTCGGCAGCAAGGACCACGGTCTGCCGCACCCACTACACTACAACCTGACTATTACTAGATTTTTTTTTAACTTTAAATTTTTACAAAAAAAAATCCTGTCCCGTCTGCAGTCTGGTGCCTGTTTAATTTCTCCTAATAAAAAAAATCTTTACATTTTAACATCTAGCAGTTAAATGCTTAATATATATATATATATATATATATATATATATATATATATATATATATATATATATATATATATATATATATATATATATATATATAACTAAATAGGATTTTTAAAGTGAATTTGCAAAAATGTCAGAAGTTTTGAGTTTCTCTAAGGTACATCCGTAAAACAACTTATAAGTTGTTTAATATTTTATTTTTCTCTTTTTATAAGCCCGAGCAACCTAAAGCAAGACGTGTTCAGCCATCGATTATATGACTGACGACCTCCGTGGCCGAGTGGTTTGTACGCCGGCCCGGTTTCATGGTGTGCGGGCAGATGTTTGTGTGATGAATACGAGCATTTGTACTCCAGTCATAGACGTTTAATATGTAATTCTATATAAATATACTTATATATGTACAGTATGTATTCTAACCGTTACTTTAGTATCCCATAACACAAGCCTTACAGTGCTTACTTTGGGGCTAATTGGTGTGAGTATTGGAAATATTTATTTATTTTAGGTATATAAATAAGTATATAAACAAAGCAATATAACTTAAAACCCTTCCATCATTTTTAAATCGGTTGAAAATTAAAATGAAAAAAGGTCCTACATTTCACCCTTCGTAGTGGCATATCGAGTGACTTTCTAATTACCTACAACTTTAACACTTAATCGCTTAATGTTTCATTCCAAGGCAAACAGTTGAATCACTTGTATTATGAAAAACACAGATCATCAATCCTTCACGCTGTTAAGAACTGACGAGGCATAAATAAATAAAATAATCTAAGAGACACATATTCATTATCTCTTCGTACCTAACTCTAATTTATGCAACAAAATTTCACTGTCAAAAAATCACAGTCGATATTTAACCAAAATATTAATGTAATTACCAAACAAAATTACAATGAAGTACATTCATTTACTATAGATTGTCTCTACGGCCGTGATAACCTGGGGTCATGTGAAATTTCAGTCTGTCGATTAATATATAATAATATATGTACCTACTCGTAGATAACGTATACAACGAGAGCGAGTGTTGCCATTTCGGTTAACGACTGACATATATCGCGAATCAAACTCATATAATACTATCGGCCGCCCGCGACTTCATACGCGTGGAGTTAGTTAGAAATAAAGGTTCATTGCTCGTTCCCCGTAGGTGATCATCATCATCATCAGCCTATTAATTGTCCCCACTGCTGGGGCACAGGCCTTCCCTATGGATGGAATAGGGAGATTCGGCCATGACCCACCACGCGGGCCCAGTGCGGGTTGGTGGGTGCTAACGACTGCAGATGCAGCCGGGACCAACGGCTTAACGTGCCTTCCGAAGCACGGAGGAGCTCGAGATAGTAAATTTTCGGTCACCCATCCAATGACCGACCACTGCGAAAGTTGCTTAAATTCAATGATCGCAGCAGAACACGCTAGCCTTTTGCGCCATCGAGCTCCTCTCGTAGGTGATAGCGTGATAAAATGTAGCCTATATGTTGATCCGACTTCTTAATAATATTCGTGGCAAATTTGAAGTAAATCCATGCAGTACTTTTTAGGTTTATCCCAAAAATTATATTTTTGGCTTCGGTATCGATTGTAGATCATACCCCAAGTATTCTTTTAAAAAAATATTTTCAATGTACAGTAGTGACTTTCCTACCATTTTATTATACATATCTATAGATAGTACAGCTATAATACAATATACTATACCTACGAGTATTTACCGATGAGACATTTTTATCTGGAGCTGACCCGCTAACAATAACCACTGTCACTAAAGTCGCATACATCCGTTATCTTTACCGATTATTTTTAAGGTTCCATACCCTAATGGCGCGATTACACTTCATCGTTTGCACGAATACAGGTGCCAATGGAATTCGGGTAAACGACCAATTGTAATGCCACCATTAACTTTGGTCGGTAGCGCTTATTCGTGTGCATGAAAGACATTAATCGAATTCGACCAATTTTAATCGCGCCATAAATTCTTCACTGTCTTCTCGCCCGTATTCCAGTGTAAAAATTTCTTCGGGGGGCCGAATTCGAGTAATATCTATCGTGCATCGTGTAATTGAACCATAAGAGTTAAAACGGGACCCAATAACTAAGACTCCACTGTCCGTCTATCTGCCAACAGACTGTATCGCATGAGCCATGATAGCTCCCAGCTATAGCAGTTGAAATTTTCACAGATGATGTATTTCTGTTGCTGCTATAACAACAAATACTAAAAACAGAATGTAATAGGTATTTAAGTGCGACTCCCACACAGCGAAAGTGAGATGTCTTTTGCCGTTATTTGGTCGATATTGTAATATGGTGTCTAATGTTGCATAGAGAATGGTACGGAACCCTTTGTTCGCGACTCCGATTAGCACTTGGTTGTTTTTTTTAATCAAAAAGACATGGTACTTATGACAGCCAAAGCCAACTAACTGCACAAAAGGTTACCAAATCACGCAAAAAATCTAATTTCATAAATCTATATCAAAAGTATTTAATTTTTTTATCTGACATTTGGTCTCTGAAAAAATATCATTAAATTCACACATTTTCTTGTAAAATCGAATCGATTTGATGCAAATAAACTGTAAAAGTGTAAAAAGATGAAGCGCTTGAAAAAATATAGAGATACAGTTGAAAATTAAACTCCTTATCTAATTAGCGGACTCCCGCAACAGTTGATTACCTATCTCTAGTTTTTATTAATCTTTAATATGAAATGTCAATTTAAAAACTATTATAAATATTTCAGTTTTCAAACGTTTTGGAACTTTATCACACTGTATTAAGGTTAAAAGTTAATCAGAGGGAATATTCAGATTTCGATAAATCGATGTTATATCGAGCTGTATAGTGAATCAGTTGTAATTCGCGTTTGTGACTTATTGATTTTTTGCAAGCCGACTACGCCCACTTTGAGCAACGATGTCTATAAAAAGCTTGATTTGAATTAATCAATCACGAATGATGACATTGATAATTTGTTAATAACTCACAAGCTCGCCCGAACATAGTTATTGTTGAGTAAAAGTTTTAGCCAGTACAATCCGGTTCGATCGACCATTTTGTTTATCAGAAGCAGGGACACTGTGTACAAGGGGCACAGTGTGACAAAAGGAATATCTTTTTTAGCTATTTTATATTAAAATTTTCTTAATACCAAAATATACTTTTATGATGTATCGCCTACAACCATCGTTCACAATCGTAAAATAATCATAATCAAATCATTTATTCAGTTTAGGATGTTGCAAACACTCATGAATGTCTAGAAGCTACGCCATCGGTTCGTAAATCTACGGCGGGAGACCTTGTACTGAGAAGAACCGGCAAGAAACTCAGCAAGGGCTGTTTTTTTCTCCCTGTTTTATTATAAATTGAAAAATGACTTCAGAGATGATTCATGAAGTCACCTTTCATTACATAATGATTAAATATACATTATTTTTTACCTGCATTTTGATTGCTGTGTCATACAGTATAAATACAAATAGTGTTATTTATATTAAGTGTGACTACATATTAATTTCAATATTAAGGAAGTTAGGGCAGACTCATCTCCGCTGGCAGCACCCGTTCACGAGCATGACGCATGAACCAGCCTAGGGAACGTAACGACCCACCTTACACGACACCGCCGAAGAGACTATTTATAGTACTCGTTACCTAGATTTTAAGAAGGTATTTGTCATCACCCCGAATACTAATACATTAACGAGCTGTTGTTCTTAACTGTACCTTTGATCAAACACTTCTTTCTTTAATTTTACTCCTAACTCACCACTCAAAATAATTATTAAACAGAGGTGTCATTCGTGAACCACTAGCTTCGGTCCCAATTGCCGCCTAAAAATAATTATGAATTACAAAGAGGGCTTTCTGGACCGCGATCCTGGGGGCCATTCGCCTAACGGGATTGCTTTGGAAAACGCTATCGGCTACGATTTCATTTTGTTATTTTTGACCGCCGAGGGTTAAATACCTCAAAAAAAAGAGCGCGAGGCATTTGAAAACCTCAGGTGACTAGAAATAACAAAATGAAATCGTAAGCGATAGCATATTCCAAAGTAGGGCTGCCATCCGTCCGGGTTTCCCCGGATTTGTCCTAGTTTACGGGGCGTCCGGGGAGCGTCCGGGCGAGGTTTTATTTGTAGTCCGGGTTTAAAAATTTACGGCAACGCATGAGTGGCCCTTGTTGCTGCAAGTGTCCATGGGCAGCAGCTCTTTTGCCTAGATCAAGATAAAAAACATTTTTAACTATTTTTTATTGGTCT